ACCCTGCCTCACAAGTTGAAGGTGCGCGTGCTCCCTTTCAGGGGTCCTTGAGGCCTGACATGTAGGCAGGCACTCACTGCTCTTGGTTGGAAGCCTTAGTGTGAGAGCTTAAAACTGATGTTGAGCACTGGTCCTAGCATACAGCAGGGCAGGGTTGGGGGTGGGGTGCTGGATCGTGGTAAGAAAGACAGCCCTGCAGAAGGAGCTGGGGGAGGGGGGTTTGTGCTCTCTTCCAGGACTATCGCCCCTGGATAGCACACACTCACCCTTCCAGATGGAACTCTTCAGCACCTAAACAGGGCCGCCTGGTAGCCCAGTGATCCAGGGACAGAAGGAAGGACGGGGCAGGCAGTGCAGGATCCAGGAGAGCACAGGAGCCCCTGGAGCCCAGGCTGAGGGTGCCGGGCTCTCTTACTGGGGACCTTGAGGCTCACTGCTCTGGGTGGGTAGCCTTAGAGTAGGCTCATTGTAATTATTTATGAAGGGGATGTTCTCTTAGGTGCTGCATGTTTGGAGGGTGTGAGTCCTTAATGTCGTAAAATAGTTTTAGCCAGGTGTTATGGCACATGCCTGTAACCTCAATGGTAGAAACCGAGGCAGGAAGACTATGGGTTCTAAGCCAGCTTGGGATCTACAGTGAGTCCCTGTTAAAATGGGGTTTCTGTTGGGTGGGTGGGTAACAGGTGCGCTGATTGGCTTGTCATCCTTCCCTCCTGCAGTTACAGAGGAAAGCCGCGAAGAGCCAGCCTTTCAGAACTTCATGCAAGAATCAATGGCACAACACTGGAAGAGAAACAAATAGACCATCCACTTGTTGCTGGAAGTTAGACATACTGGGTCTCCACTCAGAGAAGCCCTTCCTGTGAGTCGGGGCTGCAGTCAAGAGCAGGATAGTAGCTTCTTTGAGGGTTCCAGATTTAGATGAAGTCGATGAAGGTGGAGCTGGCAGGTGGGTGCCCGTCCTTGGTTAGCTTCTCCTGGTATTTATGCAAGGACGTGCCTTTTCACTGCTCTGGAAGCTGATAACCGGTCAGCCTGAGACTTGAAGCTGCATCATTTGAACTGAAGTCTTTTGCTGCTGATTGGAGACAACTTTGGATCTTGACTAGTCTGGATCTGTGGCCTCGGCTCTTGAGCACTGAGCTCTTGACTCTGCACCTCAATTGCTGCTCTTTAAGCAGAATGGGAGGGGAGAGTGAGCTTGAACCGAAGGACAGTGCATTGCCCTTGGCAGCCACGAGGTAACACGGCATAAAGAATCCTGTTTGAATGGTGACTTGGATAAAGTTTTCAACTTTAACTCCGTGTCATGATTTCAGATTAGAAATTGTGTGATCACTAATAGATTCGGCACTGTTAGTTACAACCGAGCTTTAAAGGCAGACCTGGTCGGCTGTAAGCTGTAGTTTAATTTCCCAGGTGCATTCGCCTAGCCAGGTCCCCAAACCTGTCCTGTTTATATTGTCCTTAGGACAATATAAAGCATTGTTTGTGACCACAGGGTTTGGCTAGGTATCCACCCAATAATACATAACTAGAAGGGCTTACCTTGGTTCTCAGAGTGTAGTCTGGAGCAGAAGGAAGGTCAGCAGCCAGGGGAGTCTTAGCGATACCTCTCCAAATCGGCTTCACCGAATGGGGAGCTCAACAGACCGTTCAGGGAGCCCTGCAGGTGGCCGTGTGTGCTCTGCTTTCACAGCACTGTCCCAGCTCAGCCTGACCGAGTCCCAGTCCTCACAACTTGCCTTTTCAGACTCGGTGCCTGTTCTCTAGTATTATTTTAAAGCAACATAGAATTTTATCTTACCACTAATTATTCAATATTCCATACCTCTAAAAATATGAGCTTTTTCTTTCTTTTTGCAAAGCTTAAAACTTCTCTGCCCAACATCATGACATTGCGGTGCACGTCTTTAATCCCAGCACTCGGGAAGCAGAGGCAGGTGGACCTCTGTGAGTTCAAGACCTGTCAGGACTGCAAAGTGAGACCCTGTCTTAAAACAGAAAGAGAAAAAGGACCCACCCTTACATGTATCTCAAACCACCTCTGCCACCTGAGTGCTGCAACTATAGGGCTGGGCCGCTATACTTGCTGACCTATTTAAGGGGAACCTTTGCAGAGCACAGCTCTGGGCTTACTCTGCTCTTCTCCATGGCTCCATCTCCCTGTGCTCTGAGTGTTTTCTAAGTGAGTGAACGAAAATCTTTACACACACCAGCTGCCTGCTGGCCCCTTCATTCTTAAAATCAATGAAAGATTTGGAGATCAAAACAGAATAGATTTTAAGAATGTTAAGGATTGGGCTGGAGAGATGGCTCAGAGGTTAAGAGCATTGCCTGCTCTTCCAGAGGTCCTGAGTTCAATTCCCAGCAACCACATGGTGGCTCACAACCATCTGTAATGAGACCTGGTGCCCTCTTCTGGCCTGCAGACACACACACAGATAGAATATTGTATACATAATAAATAAATAAATATTTAAAAAAAGAGTAAATTGGCCTATTGGTATATCACATTTCCAGCCAGATAAAATTTCATAAATTTTCCCAAATGTTTGTTTCTGATGTTATCTTACAGACATATAATGTAAATGCTCTTTTTGTAGTCCCAGTTCAATTAAAGATTAAAACTGGCTTTGGAGTTGGAGTATGACTGTCTCTTTCTCTAAACTCAAAATTTTAGTTCCATGTCAGAAGAGCCACCTGATATGGGACAAAAGTAAAACAAATGTTTAAGGACTGTTTTATTGCCACTAATCTCATAATCCATTGGTTTTACATTGACTCTTTAACAGTTTTTCTTACAGTATAAATTTTATAAAATTAATACACACACACATATATATTCTAATTTTTTATAATGATA